GCGAGAAAACTTGTTTAACCAGTACTCTAGAGTACAAATACCGCGTGATATTTGTACTCGTCTATGGCGTTGCTTGTACTCTACCAAGTGTAATTGGATAATAATTGTTGATATTTTGAAGTCTTTGACCTTTGAAGTCTTTGAAGTCTTTAATAAACCACAAGATAAAAGATACATATCCTATGTTACACAAACGAAAAATTGTGTAATGAAAATTACAATAATATACTATGGCCGAAATTAAATCATGTAATTATAACAGGTTGTGTTAAAAAATTAGTCTATTTACAAGTGTGTTCATGAAACGTTCTGTGTTAATCTTTGGGCGGAGGCAAACCTTTGTGACGTAAATTATATTGCTGGGGTTTAGGCTTTGGCAGAATTTCATTTGACAGATGATGGCTTAGGGCCTTAGCTCTGCTAAATAATTTCTTATCCTGCATTTGCATGATAGTGATGGAATGAAAGAGAAAAATTCACTTGTTTTTCGCGTATAGGATGGATTATGTCAGCCTATCATTAAAAAAAAAAAGGCGTCTCACCCAGCATATTTCCTGTGTTTTCTTTCACCTTGGCAAAGACATTGGTAGAGCCAGCTGGAATGGTGATTATCTCGTCTGGCTTATTTGGACCTAAAAAAAAAAAAAAGAAGAGATGAACCCTTTCCGATAACTTGGTTACCTCCTCCCCCCATGTGCCACCCATTTTACACTCCTGGGAGGTGAGAGGCATTGGCCACCGCGTCCCCCTGAATTTGGGAAAATTTAAAGATTTTAAACGAATCTGAAACTCTTCGTCTAACTTTTGTGGCACTTCTTTGTCAAAAATTTGTTTTTCCGGTTGCATCATATATCATTTCATCGCATTTGGTAATTCCTATCCATCAAAGGAAAAACGCTTCTCCCAAGCACATATTGACTTAAGAGCCTAGTTGTATAAAGGGTGGTGAGCAGAAAAACTCCAATTTTTTTTCAGTGGCAAGGAAACGTATAGTTCTGTATACATATATCCCGAGGAAAGTCGAGATAGGCTGCGAACCCCCCCGTATGTCTTACTACAATATGTGAGCTAAATGAAAATTATTTAGGTTTACCCCATTTACGATAGTTTTCTGTGTACAACCCACTGACGAAGCTACAAGTGGAACTGTCGCCTCCGCAAACAGCGCAATGGTCGTACTTCACGCCTGAATTTAACCTCATGTCACAACCAACGGGCTGAAAATATGAAAAAAACAGAAAAAAAATTATGAAAAGGTAAACGAGCATTAGTTGGAACTGATTGGTAACTACAGGACGGACTTCTTTTAGAATGGATAAGGACCTTTTTCCTCGATCTTGTAGATATTAGTAATTTTCTGATGAGATTAGACATTTATTGTATTCCAAAATAGACTTGTACTTTTTTAAGTTTTACCTGGCAAACTCCTTCAATGCAGACGTCTTTGCTCATGGGGTTACTGCTACATCGAGTGCCGTCTTTAACGCGGCCTCGAGGTGTTGCATAGCTTCCTCGTCGGCATTGTAACATACATGGATCTAGAAAGCGTGTTTTATTTTTCGGTGAAATATATTCTCAATTCAGGTAAAACTGCATTTTACTCTGACTTCAATTACATGCTACCAAGTGTAGAAGACGATTTAGTACTGCTGGCTGATTTTTTCTCATCTCTCGTTTTTTCAAAACGCCTTCTCTGTTGGTCGTAAATTTTAACTGGCACTTAATCTAATCATCACATCAAATAGTGCTATGTTCAAAACTGAAAGCAACTGAAAGAATTTATCACAAGAACCAAAACAACAGTTTTTGAAAAAATCATAGATGAACTCCTCCTTTAATTTTTTTGGATAGAGAAAACGACCCAATCATCTTTCAAACATTTTCAGTTATATTCTTAGCTATTTATCCTCTCGTGACGTCATTCGCTCACCTGATCCCCAGTACACCACGGATTTCGGATCAAAGGCCTGACACTGAAGAAGTCTATAATCTGTGGAGCCTTCAGGGCAAGGCTGCAAGAAAAGGGGATAACAAATCTAAAAAATAGTACATTTTCAGAATCTAGGATGATATAAGTTTTTTGTAAAACAAATTCTCGTACAGTATGAGCCACAGTTTGATCATTCTTTATTACCTGTGTGTTACAGGTCTCCCATGATCCTTTTTTTGATCCTTCACAGTTTTTACCCCCATTCTGTGGCCTAAAATATAATGTTGTTACGAGAAGTTACATTGTTACATTCCCTTGACTGATTGCTGACTATTGGCAAAGTTTTTGGAACAAATTGAGTGATTGCAAATCAAACAAGAACAGAACAAAACGATAACGAGAAAAAAATTTTGATCGTGTAGGGCAAGAGTCCTTGAAAAGGACTATTTTCGGTAGCAGATACTATTATCTCGACAAGCCGAGCAAAAAAATCATCATCAGTGTTGGGTAACGCGTTATTTGTCCATCGATTGTTCCGAGTCTGGTACGTCAAAACGAATCGGTCAGTTTTGGCGAGACGTAACGTTCCTCTTCAGAAGTGTAATTCTGTTGAGATTAGATACTCAGTTTCGATCCGTTTGAAAGGTTAGGTTCTGTTCGGTTTGTTTCTTTCGTTTATGTCGTGAATAAGACGAATGGTCTGTCACTGCTACCGTCCACAGGTTCAAAATATTCACTGAAATAAAAAAAAACAAAACGTCGATGCAGTACATGGTCATAAAGATGCTCAGCAAAATTGGGTTAGGAAGAATTGACCGTCAAATAGCAAAAATATTATAGTGGTAGCTAGCTATTCTTACACGGGGTTGGTACATGTTCTTGTTTTCCAAGTCACTCCTCCACCGCATGTTCGTGTGCACGAGTGGGTGTCCTGCCAATCACTCCATCCTCCGTCAATCATCGGAGAGCCGTCGTCCTCACATTCACCCTTTATGCACCACTTCAAAAGTTAAGACATTTTTAACAGAGTGGCATGCCCGAAACAATTTATGACACTTCAGTAAGTGAGCTTTCTCCAATTAACAAATGGCAAACACCACAGCGTACACTATTGAGTTATGGATGCACTTGGGAGGTTGCTAAGCACGAAAGAAGCGTAAGAGTCGATCGAGGCGATAGCCGAGAGCGACTCTAGCTTCTTGAGTGCTTAGCAAACCTCCCAAGTGCATCCATAACTCAATAGTGTACGCTGTGGTGTTTACCATTTGTTTTATAACATAACATTGATACATTGTAGCTAAAGAGTTCCCTTTTCTTTAACAAATCTTACGTGACCAGATAAAACAAGCGCGCGCGGAAAAACAGTCTTTGCATTTGCTCACGTCAGCAGCGTACCCCATGGGCAAATGGGGGACGCTAAATTGACCAATCAGAGCGCGCGATTTACTTTGGTTATGTTATAATAACGTCTGGGGCGGTGAATAGTCTGTACAAAGAGTGAGGGGTCTCACACAACCCACAGGTTGCGCAGTTAAGCATTTTATTTTCTGGTATTATATTATTATTTCAATTAGGCTCTTGTAAATCTCAGTTTTTTTGCATGTATATATGATGTTTTCTCCCTGTGCATAGCTTCTATTCTTTTGTTAATATCTTCTCTGCTTGCAAAATTTTGATTGTGGATAGTAGGTCCACATCAGCCCTTTGGCTGCCAAACAATCTCAACCAACTTATCAAATAAAGTTTACCTTGCCTTTACCTAGTCCCTTTTTTGAAGATTTATTTTATGGGGAGGAGACCTTATTCAAGGATATGGTCCTTTTTTTAGTTCAAATTTTTTTACAAGAAACAAGAGATGTAAGTTTAAACTAATTTTACTTACGTGCCTATCACCGCATCTCGTACCATCAATGGGCGGAGCTATACGAGATACGCATCTATACCCATCATTGGTACAGTATAGGGTACTACAGTCGGCCTAACGAGAAAGCAACCACAGATTTTTGCGATGTGGCAAACAATTTTTTTTTTCAGTATTCATATCATAAGCTTTCAAAGTGTTGAGCTGTTGCAGTTTATCCCACTCTCCCCTCTTCCCCCTCCACCGCTGATTGACATGCTAAACCATCGCAGTATTTTAGCACGTTCCTTCAGGTTCCCAATCATTTCGCCGGTACTCATTCGCGCTATTGAAAGGAGAGATGCACTATAGGATAAAAGGGCATTTCCCAAATATACAACACAGGCTTTTCTCTCTTCCAGACAAACAAGCATACGACCATACAAAAAAGCCTAGCCATATCCAAGTCGATATATTCATAGAAATTCCATTCCACAGCAGAATTTGATAACGAAATTTAGGAATTAAGAACTAAATACTACTGAAACGAGATAACAAAGTGAAAAGCCTCGATTTTCTTAATTTTGCTTAAGCCCAAAAGGAAAACTGTTGCCTTGCCTAAAACAGGTTTTACTTACTTTTCTTTGGGGACAATGGAAAAATTCTTGACCAAATTGCAACCTACACTGTAGTGTAGCGTCCACGATCTGTCCCGGCAGCTTCTTGTGGAAGATGCTGGGCATGTGAAGGAAATCACGTGGGTTGTCATCCAGACAGGACGAACCGGATCCACTGTCAAGAAATACCACACTTAAAGCTTTTCTCTTAGAGTACAACCTGATCTTCATCCTCAGCCCTGTCCTCTCACACGAGGGGCAAGGGGGTGGATAGACCCCCCTGAGATTCCACTGCTATTAAAGGTTCAGGGATCCTTTTTCCCTAAATAGATAGCCTTTGATAAAATCTTTAAGATTGAGTATCTGTTGTGGGCCACGACCTTGCTAAAGGCATTATGTCTTTTGAGTGGGTCGTGAAGGTGTATATCTTACGAATATTCCTCTTCCGTGGGTTTTCTCCTTTCTCCCCGAGAAGGTGAGGAAGGAAAAGAGAGGACCCTAAGAATGAAGATCCTTTCTTAAAAATTGAATGAAGTCAGAAAACATAAAATTGGCTCTAATATCAGCTTTCCTCTGCATTTTCCCGTCGCATAATGAGCAAAATTGGTGGTTAATCATGCACATCTTGTTTTAAACTATTTGAAGCAATTTTATTGTTAATTGCTTGTTTTGTGAGTAAATTTTTCGTTTTGTCGGTCAATTTTTCCGACACATTTACCAAACCCATCTCTCCGTTTACAATCTTAATCCCAGGATTTAGTAGCTCCTCACAGATACTCACGTGAGGAATTCTTGAATGCGAGTGCTGCTGCACTTTGACCACTTGAATGCATCTCCCCCGTCGCTTACAGCGCTTGCCATGATGTACTTGCCGTCGTTACACCGCTCGCCTTTTATCGACCCATCATGCCCAATGCCGAATCTACATGGAAGATACTAGAGACAATTAGTGTAACTTATGCATCTTCAGCTGTTTCTATCTTAACTTCCTTAGCTCCAAGCTAAGCTACTCGACAGGTTTTAGCCTGAAAAGACATAATGCGAGAGTAGGATTTGAAAAGAAAATGAAAACCAAAAATGCCGAATTGAATGCAAATAAGGTGCTCAAAACTGCAAAGGCTGTCGGATAGACGAGAATAGCCAGTCATGCCGCTCGGTAATGCAAAAAAGTAAACATCATGTCTTCTATAACATGACTAATTGAACAAGCAATTTGGTTTTATCAACTAAATTGAAACTGTAAATTGGCCCTCGTAAAGAGTTAAAAAACTGACGGTTCGAGCGTTAGTCCTTCGTGACTGGCCATGACGAAGGGCTAACGCTCGAAACGTCAGCTTTTTAACTCTTTACGGTGGCCAATTTACAATATCAACTTAGTTGATATAACCAAATTACCTTGTTACCCCCACCGACGCAGCACCACAGTTTCTTTAGAAACTTACCCTCTTTATTTAATTGAACAAGCAGTTTGTGTCACATATTTAGACCCGTCATCCTTAGTAATTTTCACGCTACCTTTTCATCTCTGATATAGACTATACTCACGTGTGAGCTGTTTCATGAGCGATAATGATGGCTGATGTTAGGCCAATGTCATTGTTAACAGTTTTGCCAAAGTTTGTGGAGCAAGTAGAACCCACAGCGGCTAAACCTACAAATTGATTAAACGATGATGTCTTTTGTATCTAAAAGCTAAAAATCACTCATCTTGATCTCGTTCTCTGTGTAAGAGAGTAAAGAGAGTAAAACGAAAGCTAAAAAAAAATTGAAAAATGGAAAAAATTAATTTAGAAGAGATAATGAGCTGGGGGAAGTTCTAACGCTCATGCCTTGGCTCTAACACGACGATCTAATGAGGCAAGCAATTCTGAAAGTTAATCTTAAAAAAAAAACTTTGTATATTCCAAAAATTGGAAAGGAAAATCGATACAAAGGACTTCACTCAGAGGTTTAGCAATATGAATAACACAAGATTAAAAATCCCCATCGATTCAGTCAGCAACTGAACCACTCACCTCCGAGGCTTTCCCTGTGAAAAAAGGGAAAAACTTTGTTTTAGGTTTCTACTTACTGTAAAATCTAATTAATCCAAGCAAGTCGCCCAGGGGGGATATATTGAGCGTTCTACGCATTCTAAGAAAAACTTTTCGAAAACAGACCTCACCGAAAAACACTACTTTCTTTATTTATGACGTGAAAAGTCCTACACATTAGAACATTGTTAATGCATGTGAAACATAGTATTAGCTTACCTCAGGCTGAGCGTAGAAAAGAAAAAACAATTCGCTAGTCTTTTCAGAGTGATAGAACTGTTTTATTTTGGAAACCTGATACAGAACCCCACCTGGTTCACCCACCAATCGTCTTTCGAGGATGCCCCACTAACAGAAGAGTTCGTACTCACCCCGTCAGCAATATAACGATGTCCGCATGTTCGGGATCTTTGTCTTGTTTTGGTATGTTTAAACCACCCCAATCTTCGACTTTACTTAGTCTGACATAATTGCTGGCTGAAGAATTGTAACCAAACTGAAAAGTGATAAGTAAAAATCATTCGCTCAATATCCATTTTCTAATTGTGCCTACTAGATGTTTATAAAACAAATATTTGGGGAAAAAATAAACAACAACAACAAAAACGAATAGAAGAAATAAGTAACAAAATCTGCAGAAACAAAAAATGTACCTAATAGTTTTCATAAAATTGTCGTGATTACGTGTACGATCACTCCTTAAATTTTCATTTACAACCATTGTGCTTTACTCTGCACTGGAAATTGATCTATACTTCTTCAATAGAATTAATATATCGCTCAGTTCAAAGGAAAGATATCAAATCAAAGGTTATTGCCATAATCACCTGCAAGAAAATGACCATTTATCTCAGTGAAGGACAATGAAGAATGAAAAGATGTCATTTTTTTTCGCGCACTAGATAGGCAATGGATTGCGAGTATTCAGAATCGATTAACAGACCAGTGGCTATTATGCAGACCAAAAAAACATCAGAATAATCCAGAACTTATGTAAAGATCCCTACAAGGGAGTGACTACATCTGGGGCATCGATTTTAAAGAAAAACCGAAAAAAAAAAAAAAACAAAACAAAACAAAAGGGACAACCTACCCCATCTTTCTTGATCACCACTTTAATCACTACCAGTGATACCTTTTTCTCTCCAACACTTTCGTCGTGAAACATGTTATCGACCTAGTAATTTTTAATGAAAAATAAGAATTCACGATTCAAGACGCATTCCAAAAATAGACTCACTGAAAAAAGACCTGCAACTAAGTTTAAGAGGAGAGAAAAGCAATGCAAGTCAACCAAAGAATAAGGTTTTCTTACTAAGTGGGCCAACATAAGTAGATGCATCGACAGATTTTCTTCCCCGCGATTTTTTACCACCAAATCGTCTGCTACCATGATAACCTCTAAATGCTTATGTGATACTGAACGTTCGTCACGTGATCGCTTTGTTTTGGTAGTTTCCAAGCTTCTTTTCGTTCTCTCGTGAGAATCTGTGCCACAATACCAAGGATGATTAGAATTGTATGACACTTTATGATTAAAAACAAAAAAATTAACTTTAGTAGCTAACACAATTACTGGTAACCCAGTAGTTTACATTGTGGGCTGTAAACAAATAATTCAAATTGAACATAATATTGTTAAGAATCCCAACTGGCCGGAGGCAAACCAGTTGGCTATTTACAAGCATG